TCCGCCACCCGAGTTGGAGCTGGCGGGCACCAGCACCTGGAACCCCCAGGCAGGATGGCTGCAGGGAAAGGCCCACAGGCACATGTGCAGGCGCAGCTGAGCCCGGTGCTGTACACGTGGGCCACAGACAGCTCCGCTGAGCTCCAGGGACCAAGCTGGGGCCCAGCAGAAGCCGGAGGTGTGTGACGGAGGACAGAGCAGCCAGAGGCTACAAGGCACAGAGGCCACACGGGGGCAGGAATGCACAGAATGGCAGGGCACCCAAGACTTTGGATCAAAACACTGTGGAGACTTGAAGGAGGTCTTGGCAGGCCACCAGCCGTGCGTGACACACGCTCACGTGGAGGCAGGGCTGTGTTCAGAAATTCTCAGAACCATCTGTGCAGTCGTTTGTTAAATCTAGAGCTGTTCCAAAATTAAAATCTTATTGTTTAAGAAAATGGCAAGACAAGGGATGGTAGCTACCTAGGTTTTGGAGATGCTCAGCCCAGGGTCTTCCAGATGGCATAGCCCACACTGCGGATAACCGCACTGGGAGACACCAGAGAGCCCAGGACCAAGAGCCCTCCACCGCCATCTGGACAGGCCACACGGCAGGCGGCTGGGCCGACGGAGCGCCCGGCCAGCAGATCTCATGCCCCGGAGGTGGGAGGACTCCACCTGCCCAGTGCGGGCGGGGCACATGCACACATCCCAGGATGCACGTGCTGTCCACCCCAAAGCGGCAGGTGCTTGCTCCTTCCAGAGAAGGGTGGCTGCTCACACCACAGCGGAAAGGGCTGCCCTCTGCCCCGTCTGCCAGGGGCACCCTGCAGGGCTGAGGGAAGCTGGCCACAGCTTTCCAGAGACCAACTCTGAAGACCCTGCCTCCAGGTGGCACGGCACTGCCGGTGGTGGGCCACCTGGCCCCCGTGGGGGAGGCAGCGGTGCCCAGGAGGTGCAGCGAGAGCCCAAGTTGGGAGTCCCAGGGCCCCCAGCCCCCAGCCAGCCAAGCCAGCTGCGGTTTCCGTGCACCCCAGGCCAGGAGTCTCAGAGGCAGGCTGGGCTCCAGCCTGCCTCCCACCTCACCCAGGAGAGCGGCCAAAGGCACAGGTGTGAGGCTGGCCGGGGGACATGCAGCGCCCCAGAAGCAGCAGCTCGCAGCAGCTGCTAACACCTGGGTTTGACGCCTAGCTTGACCAGCGCTTTCTCCACAAGCTTTGCACAAAAGAAACAAGTGGTTGCTCCCCAGACACCACACCACAGCACAAGGCCTCGGCTCTACAAGGTGGCAAGTGACATGAGCAGCATGTCGGCCCCCAAGGGGCGGGCCTCCACAGCAGCTGCAGGAGCACAGGGACTCGGGAGCTGGACACGCTCCCACACAACTCTCACCACGGGAGCTGGACACGCTCCCACACAACTCTCACCACGGGAGCTGGACACGCTCCCACACCGCTCTCACCACGGGAGCTGGACACGCTCCCACACGGCTCTCACCACGGGAGCTGGACACGCTCCCACACCACTCTCACCACAGGAGCTAGACATGCTCCCACACGACTCTCACCAGCTGGACACGCTCCCACACGGCTCTCACCACGGGAGCTGGACATGCTCCCACACGGCTCTCACCACAAGAGCTGGACACGCTCCCACACGGCTCTCACCACAAGAGCTGGACACGCTCCCACACGGCTCTCACCACGGGAGCTAGACACGCTCCCACACGACTCTCACCAGCTGGACACGCTCCCACACGGCTCTCACCACAGGAGCTGGACACGCTCCCACACGGCTCTCACCACAAGAGCTGGACACGCTCCTACACCGCTCTCACCAGGTGGACATGCAGCCACACGGCTCTCACCACGGAAGCTGGACACGCTCCCACACGGCTCTCACCAGCTGGACACGCTCCCACACGACTCAAAACGGGAGCTGGACACGCTCCCACACGGCTCTCGCCATGGTAGCTGGACACGCTCCCACACGGCTCTTGCCATAGGGGCTGGACACGCTCCCACACGGCTCTCACCACGGGAGCTGGACATGCTCCCGCCCACAAATGCCACTGCCCATACCTAGGGCCATCCAAGGACACTGGGGGAGGACAGGCTGGACAGAAACAGCAATTAGCCCATGCTGTCTTTCCCGGCTCAGCATCCGACATCCAGCCACCCTGGTCATGAAGCCAGGCCACCCTATCCAACACCCCCGGGCTGAGCTCTCCCCTCACCACTAGCAGGGTAAGAATTACAGATCCCCGCAAGTGCCGCCACAGGCCACACAGACCTCTTCTGTTTGTTTCTGTTCTTTCGCAACAGCCCTCCCAGCCGCGCAGGCTGCCTCAGCCAGGGCGCAGGCCGGCAGGTGCAGTGACAGGAGTGCGCAGCCACGCCCACTGGCAGGCCTGCGTCCTGCGCGCCACGGGGAGAAGCTGCAGAGACGGGTCACCGGAGCAGGGCTCCACTGCAGAGCTCCGGGCCGGGTGCTCCGCATCCCTGCACCCAAAGCCTTCAGACCAGGTCACTCCCCCAGGGCACTGACCAAAGGACACTCAAGGAGCAAGTGGGAAGTAGCAGAGGGCTGCTGGCGGGGAGGGGGAGGCAGGCTCGGCCTGCGTTTCCTGGACTTCCCTGAAGAGACGGCCACCACCACCTCCAGCAAAGCTGAGCACCGAGGGACTCGAGCTTCAGACCAAGGGCAGCAGAAGGAGGCCGGGCGTGACCTCGCAGGGTCAGGCGATGCCCACGGCTGTGGGCCGCAGGCTGCCCGCTGGGCAGGGCGCTTAGGCCGCACATGGGGGCTGCAGGTGCCCGGCCCCGGTCCACGGCCACAGCGGGGTGAGGCCGCCAGGCACCCACCTCGATGCTCCACGCGGGGTGAGCCACGGCCACGGGGCACCGGGAGGCCATGGGCCTCCCCCAACTGGTGGGGGACGGAGGGACCGGAAGGAAGGAGCCAGGCGGCCCCGCCCCGGCCCAGAAGAACAGAGCGGCCCTGTGATGTCCTCCCTGGAGCTCGCCTCCCCGGAGCTCACCTCACAGGGCCAGGACGTCCTGACGTCCTCCTCAGAGCTCGCCTCCTCGGAGCTCGCCTCCTCGGAGCTCGCCTCCCCGGAGCTCACCTCCCCAGGACGTCCTCCCTGGAGCTCACCTCACGGCCCCGGGACGTCCTCCCGGGAGCTCACCTCCCTGGGACGTCCTCCCCGGAGCTCACCTCCCCAGGACGTCCTCCCCAGAGCTCACCTCACGGCCCCGGGACATCCTCCCTGGAGCTCACCTCCCCGGAGCTCACCTCCCCGGAGCTCACCTCACAGGGCCGGGACGTCCTCCCCGGAGCTCACCTCCCGGGGACGTCCTCCCTGGAGCTCACCTACCCGGAGCTCACCTCACGGCCCCGGGACGTCCTCCCCGGAGCTCACCTCCCGGGGACGTCCTCCCTGGAGCTCACCTCCCCGGAGCTCACCTCACGGCCCCGGGACGTCCTCCCCGGAGCTCACCTCCCCGGAGCTCACCTCACAGGACCAGGACGTCCTCCCGGGAGCTCACCTCCCCGGCCCCGGGACGTCCTCCCGGGAGCTCACCTCCCCGGCCCCGGGACGTCCTCCCGGGAGCTCACCTCGCGGCACCGGCCCTCCTTCCCGCCCGGAGGGCGAGGCCTTCCGCCCCGCGCAGGCGGCTCCTCGGGCCAGGCACAGCCGGGCACGGCGCCCGAGGGCCCGGGCTGCTCACGGCCAGGAGGGAGCTGCGCCCCCGACGCGCGCCGCTCCGCGCCCCAGGCCTCGCGGCAGGTGCGGGACGGGGGGGGGGGGGGGGGGGGGGGAGGGGGGGAGGCCGCTCCGCGCCCCAGGCCTCGCAGCAGGTGCGGGAAGGTGGGGGGGAGGCCGCTCCGCACCCCAGGCCTCGCGGCCGGTGCGGGACGGTGGGGGGGGGGGGGGAGGCCGCTCCGCACCCCAGGCCTCGCGGCAGGTGCGGGACGGCGGGGGGGGGGGGGGGGGAGGCCGCTCCGCACCCCAGGCCTCGCGGCAGGTGCGGGACGGTGGGGGGGGGGGGGAGGCCGCTCCGCGCCCCAGGCCTCGCGGCAGGTGCGGGACGGCGGGGGGGGGGGGGGGGGGGGGAGGCCGCTCCGCGCCCCAGGCCTCGCGGCAGGTGCGGGACGGCGCGGGGGGGGGGGGGGAGGCCGCTCCGCGCCCCAGGCCTCGCGGCAGGTGCGGGACGGTGGGGGGGGAGGCCGCTCCGCGCCCCAGGCCTCGCGGCAGGTGCGGGACGGCGCGGGGGGGGGGGGAGGCCGCTCCGCGCCCCAGGCCTCGCGGCAGGTGCGGGACGGTGGGGGGGGGGGAGGAGGCCGCTCCGCGCCCCAGGCCTCGCGGCAGGTGCGGGACGGGGGGGGGGGGGGGGAGGAGGCCGCTCCGCGCCCCAGGCCTCGCGGCAGGTGCGGGACGGCGCGGGGGGGGGGGGAGGCCGCTCCGCGCCCCAGGCCTCGCGGCAGGTGCGGGACGGTGGGGGCGGGAGGCCGCCGCGCCCGGGGCGCCGGCGCCGGGGCTCGGGCGGGAGGAGCCGGCCGCCAGGGCCCCGCCTCCGCCGCACCCGCCGCACCCGCCGCACTCGCGGCGGGGACCGGGCGGCCGGGGGCGCGGCGGGGCGGGCGCTGCTCCTCCCCGGGGCCGCCCCTGGCGTCACCAGCCTTCGACGCACGGGGATAAACACGAGCGGCCGAGGCCGCGGGGCCCTGACAGCGGCCCGCAGCCCGGCCCGGCGGGGACGCGGCCGGCCGCGGGGTCCAGGGAGGCCGCGGCCGGCCGGGCCAGGCCCCGCGGGCCCCTTTGTCACCTGAGCGGGCGGCGGGGGATGGGGGGGAAACACCCCTGCGCTTGCGCACTGCCCCGCGGCCGCTCCGCCCCCCGGCGCGCGCTCCCCGCGCGCACGCGCACTCGCATACAAAGCCGGCGCCGCGCGCGCCCGGCCGCCCCGCCCCCGCCCCCGCCCGCGGCCGGAAATGCGCGCGCGCGGCCTTACCGAGAGGCAGGCCCTTGTTGAGCAAGTGCGAGCTGCCCATTGAAAGGCGCGGGCGGCCGCCGGCCCCGACGAGTCCAGCGCGCTCCGCCGCCGCGAGCCCCGCACCTGGGGCGGCCTCGGCGCCGTCTGCCGCTCCGCCCGCCCGCCTGTGCCCGGGCACCGCCGTGCCGAGCCGCCGCCGCGCCGCCAGCCGCGCTCCGACCGACGAGCGGGCGGGGACGCGGGCGCGCGCGCGGGCGGGGCCTGGGTTGGTCTCGTGTTTGCCGGCGCAGCGGCGCGGCGGGCGCACGCGGGCGGCTCCCAGGCCCCGCCACCCGCCCGCCCCGCCCGCCCGCCCCGCTCCCGCCCCCGCCGATGGCGCCCGGGATGGAGGCCCGGCGTCCGTTAGCGGCGAGAACCGGAGAGCAGCCGGGCGGTGGGAACGGAGCCCGCACGCCGCCCCCCGCCGCGGCGCCGCCCGGACCACGCGGGAGGCTGCGGGAGCTTCCGGGTCACGGAGACCAGGCCCTGACCGTGGCCGGCGCGGGGAGGCAGAGCCCAGGACGGCCGAGGGGAGCCGGTCCCGTGCCGCCGCCCTCGCTGACGGCCGGGCTCCGAGGCCTCAAAACTTGAGTTATGCTTCACACCCCTCTGCCGGCAGACGACCACTGCCGTGTGCGCGCAGAGGCCGTGTCCGCGCGGCGAACGTGTCCGCGCGGCGACCGTGTGCGCGCGTGGACCGTGTGTGTGCGGTGCCACGGAGCGCGGAGCAGCCGTGTGCGCGCAGAGACCGTGTCCGCGGGGCGACCGTGTGCGCGCAGAGGCCGTGTCCGCGCGGCGACCGTGTGCGCGCAGCGACCGTGTCCGCGCGGCGACCGTGTGTGTGCGGTGCCACGGAGCGCGGAGCAGCCGTGTGCGCGCAGAGGCCGTGTCCGCGCGGCGACCGTGTGCGCGCAGAGGCCTTGTCCGCGCGCGCGCGCGCGCAGCGCCCGTGTCCGCGCGGCGACCGTGTGTGTGCGGTGCCACGGAGCGCGGAGCAGCCGTGTGCGCGCAGAGGCCGTGTCCGCGCGGCGACCGTGTGCGCGCAGAGGCCGTGTCCGCGCGGCGACCGTGTGCGCGCAGAGGCCTTGTCCGCGCGCGCGCGCAGCGCCCGTGTCCGCGCGGCGACCGTGTGTGTGCGGTGCCACGGAGCGCGGAGCAGCCGTGTGCGCGCAGAGACCGTGTGCGCGCGGCGACCGTGTGCGCGCAGAGGCCGTGTCCGCGCAGCGACCGTGTGCGTGCAGAGGCCGTGTGCGCGCAGAGGCCGTGTGCGCGCGCAGAGGCCGTGTGCGCGCGCAGAGGCCGTGTGTGCGGTGTGCGCACAGAGGCCGTGTCCGCGCGGCGACCGTGTGCGCGCAGAGGCCGTGTGCGCGCAGAGGCTGTGTGCGTGCAGAGGCCGTGTGCGCGCAGCGACCGTGTGCGTGCAGAGGCCGTGTGCGCGCGCAGAGGCCGTGTGCGCGAGCAGAGGCCGTGCGCGCGCAGAGGCTGTGCTCGCGCAGCAGCGCCCGTGTGCGCGCGGCGCCCGTGTGTGCGCGGTGCCCGTGTGCGTGGAGAGGCCGTGTGCATGCAGCACCCGTGTGCGTGCAGAGACCATGTGCGTGCAGAAACCGTGTGCGTTCAGCGCCTGTGTACGTGCAGCGGCTGTGTGTTTAGTGCCCATGTGCATGTAGAGACTGCATACAGCGGCCGTGTTCATACAGCAGCCATGTGCAGCAACCGTGTGCATACAGTGGCCATATGCAGTGGCTCAGTGCAGAGCGCTCGCCTGGCACGCATGGAGTGAGGTCAGTGCAGAGCGCTCACCTGGCACGCATGGAGTGAGGTCAGTGCAGAGCGCTCGCCTGGCACGCACGTGTGGTCAGTGCAGAGCGCTCGCCTGGCACGCACGTGTGGTCAGTGCAGAGCGCTCGCCTGGCACGCATGGAGTGAGGTCAGTGCAGAGCGCTCACCTGGCACGCATGGAGTGAGGTCAGTGCAGAGCGCTCGCCTGGCACGCACGTGTGGTCAGTGCAGAGCGCTCGCCTGGCACGCACGTGTGGTCAGTGCAGAGCGCTCGCCTGGCACGCACGTGTGGTCAGTGCAGAGCGCTCGCCTGGCACGCACGTGTGGTCAGTGCAGAGCGCTCGCCTGGCACGCACGTGTGGTCAGTGCAGAGCGCTCGCCTGGCACGCACGTGTGGTCAGTGCAGAGCGCTCGCCTGGCACGCACGTGTGGTCAGTGCAGAGCGCTCGCCTGGCACGCACGTGTGGTCAGTGCAGAGCGCTCGCCTGGCACGCACGTGTGGTCAGTGCAGAGCGCTCGCCTGGCACGCATGGAGCGAGGTCAGTGCAGAGCGCTCGCCTGGCACGCACGTGTGGTCAGTGCAGAGTGCTCGCCTGGCACGCATGGAGCGAGGTCAGTGCAGAGCGCTCGCCTGGCACGCACGTGTGGTCAGTGCAGAGTGCTCGCCTGGCACGCACGTGTGGTCAGTGCAGAGCGCTCGCCTGGCACGCATGGAGCGAGGTCAGTGCAGAGCGCTCGCCTGGCACGCATGGAGCGAGGTCAGTGCAGAGCGCTCACCTGGCACGCATGGAGTGAGGTCAGTGCAGAGCGCTCGCCTGGCACGCACGTGTGGTCAGTGCAGAGCGCTCGCCTGGCACGCATGGAGCGAGGTCAGTGCAGAGCGCTCGCCTGGCACGCACGTGTGGTCAGTGCAGAGCGCTCGCCTGGCACGCACGTGTGGTCAGTGCAGAGCGCTCGCCTGGCACGCACGTGTGGTCAGTGCAGAGCGCTCGCCTGGCACGCATGGAGCGAGGTCAGTGCAGAGCGCTCGCCTGGCACGCGCTTGTGGCTCAGTGCAGAGCGCTCGCCTGGCACGCGCTTGTGGCTCAGTGCAGAGCGCTCGCCTGGCACGCGCTTGTGGCTCAGTGCAGAGCGCTCGCCTGGCACGCGCTTGTGGCTCAGTGCAGAGTGCTTGCCTGGCATGCAGGAAGCCCTGGGTTCCATTCCTCAGTACTACATACACAGAGAAGGCCGGATGTCATGCTGTGGCTCAAGTGGTAGAGCACTAGCCTGGAGCACAGAGAGGCTCAAGGACCTGCCCAGGCCCTGAGTTCAAGCTTCAAGACTGGCAGAAAAATAATAATAATTCCAGCTGTATACAATAAATATGTTCACTCTGTTAAAAACAAAAACAGTGAGCAGAGACCTCCAAGACCAGAAACAGTACAGGAGACAAAAAGCCAGGGCTAGAGGTCAGCGACAGCTGGGCTCACAGGGCATGGCCGTGGGAGAGGATCCCACTGGACTTCCTTGTCTGATGCAGGACTTGGAGGGAGGGGCCAGCCTGGGCAGCAGGAGCAGGGCACCAGGCCAAGGGCAGCTGGCCGCAGAGCCAGAGACCCCCGAGACCCACAGCGGGTGTCTGTGATAGGAGGAGTGGGGCAAACAAATGGGATCGTGGGAAGAAACCCAATTAGAATATGTGGACAGCAGAGCAAACCTCCTGACAAGCAACCAGTCTCAGTCCAGAAGGAAGCTCTCTGTGGGACCTGTTTTATTCTGAGACGCTGCTTGGGCAGAGCCTGGAAGCAGCAGCAGTGGAATGTGGCCAAGGCCACCAGCCCCACACCACAGCTCCTGGACAGGACAGGCCCGTCCCCTACCACAACTCCCAGGCAGGCCCGGCCCCCACCACAGCTCCCTGACAGGCCCGGCCCCCACCACAGCTCCCAGGCAGGCCTGGCCCCCACCACGGCTCCCGGACAGGCCCGGCCCCCACCACAGCTCCCGGACAGGACAGGCCCGGCCCCCACCACGGCTCCCAGGCAGGCCTGGCCCCCACCACGGCTCCCGGACAGGCCCGGCCCCCACCACAGCTCCCGTGCAGGCCGCGCCCGGCCTCCACCCAGCCTCGGCCCGGCCTCCTGTCTGCCTTTTGGGTGCTTCCTTCCTAAGCCCCCCACTCTGGCCTGTTCCCCATGGAGATGCTCCAAGCCCCGCACCCCGCAGCAGCACAGGCCCTGGCTTCCTCTCCACCTCTGCCCAGCTGCTGCGCCTCGCCCGAGCCGGCCTGTAAGTACTGTCTCCGTCGGGGGAGACGGGCCCTCTGTTCTGTGACATTGATCAGGGCACCAGATGCAGCGGAGTCTTTCTGCGGAGGTTTTTTGTGTGTTTTGGAATTGCTGGAGTTTGAACTCGGGGCCTCATGCTTGCTCCACAGGCAGTCCACCCCCTGAGCCACACTCTAGCCTTTTTTGGCTTGGTTAGTTTTGAGGCAGTCTTGGTTTTTCCTCACACTGGCCTGGACTATGATTCTCCCACCAGACCTTGGATGAGAAATATAAACCACCAAGTCCATCTTTTTAGAGACTGAGATGGGGGTCTGGTGGAAACAATTTGCCTCAGCTGTTCTGGGAACGGTTGACCCTGCTGGCCTGAGCCCCTGAGCAGCCCCTGGGGTCACAGGATTGAGCCTCTACCCACAGCCACAAGGCCCAATAACCAGTAACAAGCCTTGAGTTGTAGTGTATTGGGCCCAGCCATTCAGTTCCTTTTCAAAGCCTATTACTGTCTGGTTCCTTTGCATTTTCATAAAAACATTAGAATAGCTTGTCAACGACTGTGAAATAAAACTTGCTGGGAGGGCTGGGAAGGTGGCTCAGTGGTAGAGCGCTTGCCTTGCATGCCTGAGGCCCTGGGTTCGATTCCTCAGCACCACATAAGCAAAAAGAAAAAAGCCGGAAGTGGTGCTGTGGCTCAAGTGGTAGAGCACTAGCCTTGAGCAGAAGAGCTGAGGGACAGCGCCCAGGCCCAGAGTTCAGGCCCCACGGCCGGATCCAAAAAAACAACAACAAAAACCCCTTGCTGGGGTTTTGGCTAGCGTTGCGTGAGACTGGCAGGTGGGTGGGAAGTCTTGACACTTTGTAATTACAAGCCTCCGGTGTGTCTTGCCACCCACTTAGAGATGTGGTTGCTTTGGTCAGCAAATGTAGAGATTGACCACATGGCACTCTCAAAGTTGATGCTACAATGATTGTAGACGGTATGGCTTTCTCAGTTCTTGTGTATTCATTGGCACTACACAGAAACGTAACTGATTTGTCTGTCTCGCATCCAGCAACCTT